TAAAAAAATAAAATCAAGAAAACAATTCCATCTATAATAGCAACAACAAACAATAAAATACTTAGGAATAAATTTAACAAAAAAAGTGCAAATTATATTACTTTAAGAACTACATACTCTGGTTTCTCTTCAGATTGCATAAATCTTTTGCCTTTTACTTTAAAAACTACAAAACACTGTTGAAAGAAATTAAAGATTTAAATGAGTGGAAAACATCCCATGTTCATGGGATGGAAGACTTAATACTGTTAAAATGGCAATATTAACCAAACTGAACTATAAATTGAACATAATCTCTCTCATAATCTCAGTAGACTTCTTTATAGAAATTGACAAGCAGATTCTAAAATTCGTATGAAATGCAAGGGACCCAGAATAGCCAACACAATCTTGAAAAGAACAAAGTAGGAGGACTTTGCTTTGTATACACATAAAGATCCTCTGGAAAGACCCATAAAAACCTAACAGTGGTGGGGATAAACAGTGATGTGCTGGTAAACCAGTTTTCCAAAGGTGGGGAAAGCCCTAATTTGCAGTGTTTGACAATATCTATGGTTCAATATTCCCACCATAGCCAATTTTAAGCTTCACTGACTATAAAGTTGGTGGGAGGTGCATGCAGTCGGCTCTCCCAAGCTGGTATGAGCAGGCTCTAGCATATCACTAACTGGGACAGGGGATGAGATGGTAAGAAACTTGTCAAGGTTTACCTTTTCCTTATACACACACACCCCTACATATATGTGTACATGTGTACTATGTATGTATATATGAATATTTTATTTTAGAACTACATATGTACTACCTATTTATAAAAAGTAATAAAAAAAGGAAAAAAAATACTGTGTATAAATGACTATATATAGACTATATACAGGAAAAGCTCAATAAAAAGTACCATTTTAGGGGAAGGATGCTGTGGTGCTGGGGAATATAGCAGAAAGAATGTTTAACTTTTTTTTTTAAATCCTCACCCGAGGACATTTTTCCATTTTTGTTCAGATAGAGTGGGAGGAAGAGAGAGAAAGAAAGAGAGAGAAAGAGAGAGAGAGAGAGAGAGAGAGAGAGAACCATCGACGTGAAAGGGACACATTGAGTGGCTGCCTCCCGCACAACCCAACCAGGGCTGGGGACAAATTGCAACCGAGGTATGTGCCCTTAGCGGGAACCAAACCCGGGTCTCTGGACCGTGGGCCACCGCTCTAACCAATGAGCCAGACCAGCCAGGGCAAAAAAGTTTAACTTTTATAACCAGATAAAGATGAAGTAAAATTCTGGCTTTGCTTTTTAATACTGTGTGAACATGGTCAATCGCTCTGAGGCCTTTTCCTAGTCTGAAAGGGAAAATAATAATAGAAACTGTCCCACATAGTGTGACACTTTCTAACTTTATTAAGTTAGCTAACAAAAGCAAGACAAAAACTCCTGAAGTCTGACAATATTTTTGTAATAAAATTGAGATGTATAGGAAAAGAAGGGGGCAGACATAGTGGCATGGGTGAGAGGAAATAGAAAAAGTAAATCCTCTTCAACAATAATGGTAAATAAAGTTTAACCTGAGAACTCTATAAATTGCAGTAAAAAAAATGTCATTTAGAAATATACTAAATGAGCAAGAGCTGACAATTTGCTTTTAGGAAGCAGGGAAAGATTGGAATGGAAATAGCTGCTTTTCTTTGGTATTAGTTGGTGTTTTAAAACTATGTGCATACACTTTATTGATAAAAAAAAAAAGTAATCATTTTTAATGAAGTATTACCACATTCAGACAATTTTCAAAAATGCCACAGCTCATAACCTAACCATACCTCTTGCAAATTTTGGTCTTCTTGAGTCCAAGAATTTAAAACATGTGCTCCAGAGTCACTCACAATGAAATTCACCTAACAGATTTCAAAGAAATAATTAGTATTCAACTCCCATTCCACTTGACCCCATTATATTTAAAATGTAAAGTTTGTCACTAGTTAATAATAAAAAGAATTAAAAATAAAATAATATGAAGTCTCTAGCACTGATTTGTTGACTGAATCATTCATTCAATTTACAGATATAGAATGCCTAGTATATGTCAGGTGCTGTTTTCAGCTGTAGGGATGTGGGAATATAGTGAGGAATAAAACAGTTCTGTAACAATGTGGGGAAAGCCAGGGGTTTGGCAGGTGTGGTAAGATAAGAGATCAATTCAGGAAACAAACAAATAAATGAACAAGATCATTTCAGAGAGTGATAAATGAGAGGGAAAAAAAGGTAGTTAGCTACTTCAGGTTGGCTGGACATAGAAGGGCTCTCTACAGAAGTGGCAACTGAAGGAAATCCAACATGACCAAAAGAAACCAGTCATGGAAAGTGCTGGGAATAGAGAATTCCAGGTATAGTGAACAGCAAGTGCAAAGGTCTCTAAGTGAGTACCCTCAAAAGGGTGAAGGTCAAAGCAGACAGAAGGGCAGGAGACAAGCTTAAAAAAAAAAGCTGTAGCTACATCACATAGGGCACTGAAAGCCAAAATAATGGATATGGACTTTATTCTAAATTTTAAAGTAAAATGTAAACCAAAAAAATACTATCAAGGGTGAAATGATCTCACCCTTCTCCCAAAAGGGCGCACAGCCATCATTTGATATATTTTCTAATATATCCTTACCTCAGTTTCTACATATCCAACATGGCAGTAATAAAAAAGGCTGGTATTCAGATGGTACATACCAGCACAGTCTAACAAATTGCTTACAGCCAACATCCCTGCTGCTTAGGCTAGCCAACAATCAATGGTCAGTGCCTGTTCCATTTTGATTATATTATCCCAGTAATTACAGTAGCTACCTTATAAGGATTGTTGTGAGAATTAGAGGAGTTAATATATATGAAGCACTTTGGAATATGTCTGGCACCTGTAAGTGCTCCATAAGTGTTAGCTGTTACTGTTGGTGCCAATTAAATACACATGACATTTAAGTTCTACATATCACATTTTTAAAGTAGTAAATAAACAGTTCTAAGTCAAATCTAATCTACAGCAAATTCATATATAAAAAATGTAATAAGCAGTTAAGTACATCCCCCAAAATCATATATTTTGCTCGTACTTCACACTCACCAGCTTTTTGAAAGGAAATATATCATACATTATTCTACAATATTCCATGGAAGATTCTACTGAGCAAGTCCACAATGATTTAGATATGGGGGCTAATGGGATGATTCCTTGGGTCCTATTCTTCACCAGCATATCAAACTCAACATGCTGTCTACATGATTCTGCCATGTAAGGGCAGTGGTCCACAACAAATACTGTTTTATGAGATTCAGAAAAAATCTTCATTTTTGTTTTAACCTGTAAGGGATAAAATATATTAGCCAAATGTCTTGTATATAACTTTTAAATCTTGAATTGTTTTTCTAATTAATGTGTCTTTTCTTCAAGAAGATTTGGTAGGAAATATAAATAATCAGTATCCAAAGAAATTTACCCAACAAAGGACAGATTGAATGAGGTCATGACCAGAAAGTATCACTTCAAGGGATGAGCTACACCACATTAAGCTGTCACTCTATCAGTTACAGGCAAAATTACAGTCCATACGTTTTGTTTGTTTTTTTGCATTTTGAATGCATTTAAAATGGTCAAAAGAAAATACTTTTATAAATAACTGTACTTGATTCCCTTACATAATACCAAACATAATAAACGACAAATACTTTTCAAACACACTTTTGATGATCCTTGCTAAGTGACAGCAATCACTAACCCAAATCAGCAGTTTTTAGCTTCCCTCCAAAAAGTCTCAAGACTTCTGTAAAGGGGGGGGGGGGGGGGATTAGCAGGAAATAAAAGTGACAGCAATAGGAAAGACCAAAACATAATAGACATCTAACATAACTGCATATCGGTCTTCGCATTAGGATAAGGACCCCAAATTCACACTGTCCCCCTTAGCTTTCGAAACACCACAGTAATTTACCATGTAGAACAGAAAAACTTAGTTGCTACCATTACAATGGTAGGGAGGAAAAACTTTTAAAACTTTTTCCTATAAAAACTCTCTTGCTTCGTTAATAAAACCTTATGCTTAATAGACAATCCACATTCAAAAAGCACATGGTAAGCAGAGCAGAAGTGTTCATTAAAACGAACTGACTTCTTACGATCCAGCTATCTTCTTCTGCTTTCAAACGCATTTCCCGTTCATGCAAAACTCTTCTTTGAGAAATCTAGACACAGTGCTGGAGGGTGCGGGGTGGAAAGTACAAGGTGAGTGGATAAGGAAGACCTCATGATTGAGGTTAGCTTACTTTCGTGCCTGGTCCTGAAGTGAAAACGCACAGAGGCTATGGACCACAGCCCCTCTGGCAAAGGCTGCTGGTTGGGTGGGGAGGGTCAGCGCACAGTCAGAAGTGTCTGGTACCAAAGACAGGGGACTATGCTTTCCCCGCTCATCTCTTAGCACACCGGTTCTTCCCAAGCTTCCTAAATGCGGGAGCGCGCGCGCGCGCGCGCGTGCGCGAACACAAACACTCACACACCGGGATTCACGCGTGCGCAAAGCACTCTTCGAGGGCCCCGCCAAGCTGCCCTTCCCCCTCGGTGGGCCAGACGCCCAGGTCGCTGAACAGGAAGAGGGCGGAGCCAAGGGGAAAGAAAATGCCTCCAACCCTCAAGATTTTCTACCCGCTAATTTTCTCAATCACCCATTGGGAAGTTTGTTCCGGGCGACCTGAGAGCCTCCCCATCAGCGAAGTACCAGCCACAGCATCGGCTAAACCAGCCACAGGCCCTTAAGCGCAAGGGCCTCCCACCCGGTCTCCCCTTCTCGGTCTCTTCACCTAGGCCGGTTTCCCTGACAAAACTCGCGAGACTTTGTGAGAAACCAAGCAAAAACCTGAGTAGATTAATGGGGAGGGGTTTAGAATGGACCTGCCCCCACCTCTCGCGCAAGTCAGCGAGAAGCTGCAAATAAATCTCTCGACTCTGCCCCACACGGTGACGCAAGCAAGGAAATCTCGCGAGGTTAGAGCGCTGTGGGAGCGCTAGTCGGACGCTGTTGCCGGGCCAGTGATGGGCAGACCCTCCAGTTGCCCGCCGACGGCTTCTGCGGTGTTCTGCGTCTGCTCGCTGAAGGAGCTGAACAGGCGAGAGGACTGTCTTCCTGTGGGTGCACAGGTCTCCGTTGGCAGAGGCGTTGAGTTCTAGTCGCCACAGCTGACGGCTGCGAGGGACTGAGACCAGAGTAAGTGGAATAAATCCAGGGACTAGAACCGGCGCAGGGAGCCGGAAGCTTCTTTTCCCTGGGCCGCTCTGGTGCTTTGCTCCTCTTGAACTACCTGTCGCCCGACCCTGGTCGTTTCCTCCCGCCGGTTACGCCTTCCCCTCCCCGGCCTCAGCTCGGAGCTCCTTTTTCCCGGACTGAGGTGCGGGGAGTTTAATGAGCAGCTTTGGCCCTGGCTCTCTGGACACACCTCCCGCTTCTGTTTTCTTCCTGCCTAACCCACCTGGGAGCCCACCACAGAGGGGCGGGAAGAGGGACCTTTGCGGTTTACCTCTTTGCAGCGTAAGACGCGGACAGCTCTTCCCTCCTCGAAACGAGCTCCAAGGAATACTCCTCTTTTCCTGGTTGTCCTCCTGGCTTGCTTCTGCATCCCATTTTGATAATGGTACCAGTCTTCAAGCTGCTGTCCAAACCAGAACCCTTCGTCCTTGGCTCTGCATTTCCACTCCACTGCACTAGATTATTTCTCCTTCCACCAGTTGCTGCAGTTGCCCTCCCCAGCTAAGTTTCCCCACCAGCATCCTTCCCAGTGAGTTCTACAAACCTGTTTATATCACTCCTTAAACTTTTTCAGTAACCGTATTGCTGACAGAACTGTTTCCTAATGGTTAAGCAGTATCATTCAGGACCTTTTACTCTCTGCCCCAATGCATTTTACCTTTGATTCTCATCTTGTTTCTCCAAATGCCTTACTATCCTACCATACCAGATAACTGGCCGTTTCCCCAGACATGCCCTGCACTTTCACAGCTCTGTGCCTCTGTATGTGCTGTACCACCTGTCTAGAATGCTTACTCTTCCTTTCTCGTTTTTATTTTTTACCACCTATCAAACCCCAATTCATGGATCACTGTCACCTCAGACTCTTCCAGGTGACATTGATAATACCACTCTGCTCCCAAAGCACTTGAAACAGTTCTGCAGTATTTATTAGGTTGTATTATTTGCTCATGTATCTGTCTCTTGTGCCAATTTGAGCTTAAGTCTGGAATCATGTCTAATTCATCTTTGTAGCAAATGCTAGTCTAATACTTGGCACATAGTGGGCATTATATATATACATGTGTATATATATGTATACACACACATATAAATAATGTAATAGTTGTAAATATTCACCATAGGAGTCCTTAGTGCCCTTAAAATCATAGAATTTTTAGAGCCAGAAGGAACATTGTATATTAGCTAAACGGCCCTGACCTGTTTTGAATTTGAGGAACCGTAGACCCCAACACACAAGTAGTTGTACTTTTAGTATTTGTTGATTGAGATTATGCATACTGGCAAAAAAAACTACTACGCTTTTAAATGATTTTGTATTTTATTATACTAATATGTGTCTATATTTGGAAAATACTTGGGTTATATGTGTGAGAGAAATATTTTAGACTACAGACTATGCTTGGTGTATGTATATCCATTCAACTCTTCCAATGACTCCTTGGCCCATAAGTTAGAAATAACTGGTTTAGATTAGGTTATTTCCTTCTTGAATTGTCATATATGTTTGTGTGCGTGTGTATATATAGCGCCACAATTCTAAGGTAATATAAGTGATTTTAAAAATTCTCCTGTGTTCCTACTTTCATAGTCTGTTCTTTTCAACTTTAAAAATTCACCTTCATAAAGCTGCTTCATAAAGCTTCAAACAAGTTCATTCCATCATTTTGAAGGATTGAAAATGTTCTATGTGCTTTCAGATACACTGATGTGTCTGTATAAGGTTATTATTTTCACATGTAATTTACATTCATTCTTTATCTTTTTAGATTAAAAGTTTATAAGAAAGCCATACTATGCCTTTTTATTTTTCTATTGCAGGTCTGTTAATATAATTTAATAATTGGCATTAGAGGAGCCTGCCTGAGCAACCCCATAAAAATTTTTAACTAAACTAGGTTGTTGACATTTGAAGACACTCAGTGGCATATCAGTAGTCACAGTATTTCTGTACATCCAGCTATAGGATACTGGATTTGTGACTGAAAGAGAAAACAGATTTCTTTAAAATTTTGTTAACCAAAATCTAAAACTAAACAGCTGTCAGTTGCTGTCATGGGTGGGTGGTGGTTCCTCTTTTAACAGCAGCAGAATGTTCTGAACCCTCTGCCAGGAGTCTGACTGTCAATGTCTTTGGGTGGTGAAGTGGGTGAGGATATAGCTAAGGCAGTGGGGGAAACCTGCTTTAGAAAAATTTTACCTGTAATTTGGACCTATCTTCAGAAGATAATGTAAGTAATAATTAAGATAAGCACTATAAAAATAGGCAGATAAATTGAGAATACTCTTTTTTTTTTTTAAACTGGAGTCTATTTTTAAAAATTGTTAGAAGTTTGGAAACAATCTTCCTCCCACTCCACTTACTGACCTAAAAAGGAGGGGAAAAACACAATGTTTTTCAAAAAAGGTGGCAATGTAAATGCATATTATAAAATATGTTAAACTTTTCTGTGGTTTCACATACAGGAAGTGAACGTGCAGATTCTTAGAAACTCTGTGTCACTGTTTTTCTGAAATGCTAATAAAATTATGCTTTGAATTACCTGATGTTTAAAATTTATTTCTCTGGCCCTGGCTGGTTTGGCTCAGAGGTTAGAGCATCAGCCTGCAGTCTAGAGAGACCCGGGTTCGGTTCCCGCTAAGGGCACGTATCTCCGTTGCAGTTTGTCCCCGGCTCTGGTTGGGTCGTGCGGGTGGCAGCCACTCCATGTGTACCTTTTACGTCGATGTTTTTCTCTCTCCCTCCCACTCTATCTGAACAAAAAATGAAAAAATGTCATTGGATGAGGATAAAAAAAAATGTATTTCTCTGTATAACATGATTTTTATAGTTACAAAACAAAATTTAAATATAGTTTATTATCCTAAGTGAAATAAGTCAGTCAGAGAAAGACAAGTACCACATGATCTCACTTATTTATGGAATATATTGAAGAAAATAAGCTGATGAACAAAATAGACCCAGAGACATGAAAGTAGTAGGAAACAGACTGACAAACCTCGGAGGGAGGGGAGATGGGGGGTGGGAAGAGATAAACCAAAGAACTTATATGCATATATGCATAACCAGTGGACACAGACAATAGTGTGAGGAAGGTAGGAGGCAGGTGGGAGCAGGGAAGAGAGGGTCAATAAGGGTAAAAAGGGGGGACATCTATAATACTTTAAACAACAAAGAAATAAATGATGGTGTGACAATAAAATAAGTAAGTAAATATAGTTTATTTTGATAGTAGTATTTTTATGCAATCTAGAGAAAGTTTTTAAAGTGAATGTTTATTGTAGTTTCAAAAAGCCTATCAGTAAATGTTCACTGGTCTTATAATTAACTATAATGCCTAATAAAATGGATGCTAGGCTTTTGTTAGTTATAAGAAAAATATCTGAAATACTGTTTTTTTTCATCGTTTCTTCACTTACACGTCCATTTATTTTCTGTTGCTGGCTTGAAATGCAATTTTTATAATTTGGAAGTTCTGTTGGTGAAATAGGATTATGGTATTTGCTTTTTAAAAATTTTTTCTAGCCAGGGAGACGAAGATGGTTTTTATATAGGTAAAAGCAAACAGGGTCCTAGGGATCTACCTTGGCTCCTGAGTAGAACACTAGACTGGGGATCAGAAATTCTATTTCTGGTACTAGCTTGGCTCCTTCCTTGCTGCATGGTGCTGTCATTCAGCTCCTTTCATTTGGAATCCCTGAGTCTATTTTCTCATTGGTAAAATGGGAATAACACTTCTCCTATTGACCAAAAGACATTATTTGGTAGTAGTACTCAGGTTCAGAAAGCTACCAACAATTTGGATGAATTAAAATTATATCTGGCGGTTTGATTTTATTCTAGAGTGCTCTATAGGTCCATTTGGATTGAATTAGGTTGAAGAGATGGCTTGCCATGTCAGATAGTAAGAGTTTATTTTATAATGGTAACTGTTGAGGCAACATGGTATTGATTTAGAGATTGATAGACCTAGAGATAGAATAGAGAGCTCAGAAACATACCGATAATATTTACTCAAAAAACATAAAACAGGTGGCATTAATATTTAGTTGGGGGTATTCTAAAAAAGGAAACAATAATTATGTGTACATGATAGAGGTGCTAATTGCTACAATGGCAATCATATTACAATATATAAATATATCCAATCAATATGTTGCACACCTTAAATTTACATAATGTTAAATGTTAAATATATTTCAAATTTTTAAAAATTCATTGGGGGAAGAATGTACTATCCAATAAATGGGGCTGGGGCAACTAGTTGCCCCCATAAGAAAAAATTATATAAGTAGAGTCCTGCCTTATAGCATAGATGAAGATAAAGACCAAATGAATTAAAGACAAAGGCAAAACCTTGGGGATGGAGTGACTTTTTTTTTCTTTTAAGTTTAAAAATTAACATAATATAAAATGGTCCCTTTTTGGGTTACAGTTCCATCATTTTAACATGCACACAGGGTCATGTAACCACCAGTGCAATGGGGATACAGAACTATGCATCATCCCAGAATAGTACCTTGTGCCACACCCTCTTCCCACCCCTAATTCCTGACAGCCACTGATCTTCATATCTATCATTATAATTTTGTCCTTTTGTCAGTGCCAGGTAAATGGAAACAGGATGTAGCCTTTTGAGACTCTTTTTTTTATCCTCACTGGAGGACATTTTTCCATTTTTTGTTCAGAGTGGGACCGGGGGGGGGGGGGGGCATCGATGTGAAAGGGACACATCGAGTGGCTGCTACCCGCACAACCCAACCAGGGCTGGGGACAAACTGCAACCGAGGTACGCGCCCTCAGCGGGAACTGAACCTGGGTCTCTCTGGACCCCAGACCGACGCTCCAATCGCTGAGGCAAACTGGCCAGGACGAGACTTCTTTCAAGCAGTCTTCAAGATTCATTTAGATTGTTACCTGTGTCAGTACTCCATTCTATATTACTGCTGAGTAGTATTCC